TATTGTTGCTATTATCAATTTATCATTAATAAAACATTGAAAAGAAAAGTTAGGCAATCTTTTTAAAGGAGGCCGTAGGTTTCTTGTAAGTTAGGGAAGGCACATAAGTTTGGATTAATTCACTACAATTTTTTGCTAAAGAAAGGTCAACTTAATTTTTGTCCCCTTCTTTGCATCTTTTAGAGCATGAATTAAGGATAAACTTATTCACATCTTTAAAAGCCTTTGCCACTTTGTTAGCATTACTTCTTTTTTTTTTTTTTTGGTTAGCATTACTTGGGTCACTTCAGTTTGTTTATGACTTTTCTTTTTCCTCCTTTCTTTTAAGAAAAAAAGAAAGAATAAAGAATAAAGAATAAAGAATAAAGATCCTTCATTGCTAGTAGTTATAACTCAAAGGATAATAATGTTTAAAAAAAGGGCGGTGTTTTATTCTGCTAGTCCAGCAATAACAGCTAGCAACCGAAGGTATTTTCTCAAAATTCAAAGTTTTGAATACTTTTGTTTAGATAATTTTATCTGTTTTTAAGGAGTTTAAAAGAAAATAATTTTGATAAAAATATTAATTGGGGCAGGTTATTCTTGTATCCGTATAAGAATAAGAAGTTGTACACTCATTTTTTTATTCATTGATCCACTTATATCTAATGACTCACGTAACTAAAAACTTAGAGCCATTATGTATACGTAAAATTAACGGTCAAGATTAAGAGTGTAACTTACATCGGTATAAATTCATCCTGACTCATATTAATTATATATAAAGAAACAATCATTTGAAATTTGTTAATAATTATTGTTTTAAGAAAAATGTTATATATACAAACTTTTTGTTTACAAACTCTTACAAATTACATTATGTCTGATTGGTAAGACATTCTTGAATAGAGTTTGACCGGTCAGACATAGTGTAGTTTGTAAGTTTGTAAAAAAAAAAATTGTCAATACAACCCTACTTTTGTTTTAATATATTCAGCAAAATATAGAACCGTAATTGGATATTAGAGTTTAGAAAACTCTCGGTTGATATTTTCAGCAAAAACTCTTTGGAAAAAAAGCTCGTCTATGAACGCATAAAAAGTTTGAATTCGAGGAATAATTATCAGGAGGAAAAGTTTTTGCCAACTTGAAGCAAGCGGCATATTTTTGAGGTGATGAGATCATGACTGCGACAATACAAAGGGATCAAAGAATATTTTCTTTAAAAGCTATAAGAAACTCGTGTTGGACACCAAATATATGGACAAAGTTCATTCCAAACTTGGCATTGGAACTTATGTATGTGCTCATTCCAACTAGCATGATGCTTCTTGTTGATATATATTCATACTAGATTCTACGATTTTTGCTTTTTAACTTGTAATATCTTCATGATAAAACCAGGGGCGGACCCACTAGAGGGGCTAGGGTGGCCCCCGCCCCCTCTAAAATTTGAGAATTTTTTTTTTATAATATATGTAGAAAAATGTGATGATGAAATTATCGTGTTGTACACGTTTTTTTTCCTTCAGGGGGGCATTTGGTTGAGGAGAAAAAAAATTTATCCGAAAATCACGATTTTCAGGAATATGATAGGAATATGAGTTTTCTGGGAATGTTAGCAAAATGTGTTTGGTAGACTAAAATATTCCCGAAAATATTGGGTTAATTTTCTTAATGCTATGTTTAGTCGTATTAAATTTTTCCTTCCATAGAAATTCTAAAATACCACCCCCTGGATGATATTTTCAAAAAAAAAATTACACACAAAATAAAATCCCGGAAAAATCAGATTTCCGGAAATTTTTTAAAAAACTTGTACCAAACATGGATAAATATGATTACCACTCCCAGTTTCTCAAAGATCCTAAAAAATGCCTCGTACCAAACGGCCCCTCAGTTCCCTATGTTTCTGCCCACACTTTTACCTATGTTTTTCCTTGAGAACATCATATCATCCTCTCTCTCCTTTCCGTGTTCTGTCCATTACCAACCTCCTTCTTTAGCCTTTCGATTTTAGTTGTGTATTAAAAAAAAAAAATCTAGAGCCAAGCAAAATCAACTTCCACCTTCCTAAGATCATTGCATGTATGTATAGTCATAGACTATCTTTGATTACATACATTAAAAAAGAAATTATTTTGAATTTTAGCACGGATTCAATTATATATGAGTTTAATAATATGAAAACACGTAGAACAAGAGTAAGTGAAGTGATATTAATTTCTGTAATAGATTTTTTTTCAATTTTTTGTATATTAAATTTGTATTGTATTTCAATTACTTTTATTTATGATATAGTATTTTTTATTTTTGCCCTCTCTTATTAAAATTCCTGCGTTCGCTACCGGATAAAACGATTTTGAAACCAAAAGCTTTTTGACGTACAACTAATTATCTTTGCAGAATGTTTACGCTATGAATAATTCTTCCACACACCTTTTCAAGTCCTTTATATGTATTTGAACTGTATATTTTAGATGCCTTGGAGAAACATCGTCTTAGTGCTTGTGCTAATTAATTAATTACGTGGAGTAAAACAACCTCTTAATTAGATAAAATAAATTTATCAAATTGTGAAGTTTTAAATTTTTTCATTTATTTCATGAACAAAGCTACATTATAAAATTGTATAAATGCAAAATTTATACATTATCTCTGAAGCTTACACAAAAAGTATAGCTATAGATTTCATAACCATTCCTACAACTCCTTTTTTTTTTTTTTTTCTTTTTTCTGATTTTGTAAAGTAGGACTCCCCTTCACAATTTGAATCTTCTCTTTTCTTTTGTAAAAATATTGAAGACCAAATAATTTTCTTTGAAGGAGACGTACCTTATATATGTAAGACTAAAGCTGAAACAATAGTACTATATGCTGACAACTTTAGTCTTGTATGAATGTACCTGAAACAATATATGTCAGGGACAAAGAATTGTATGAATGCCAAGCAATATTTGTGTCTGTGAAAGTCTTGTTTTAGAAACAGAAGGCCTGTAATTTTGTATTTGCTTTTCTGAAACAAAACAGAAAAAATTGGATTGCGTATGGAAAGTGATATAAACATGTGCTTTCCTTGTTTTGGCTTCATTCCTTTCTTAGATTAAAAAAATAAAATAAAATAAAAAAATAAAAAAATAAAAAAAATTGGGGAAAGGGAAAATAAGATAAAAGACAATAAGGGAAAAAGAAAGAGAAGAGGGATTGAAGAGGAAAAGAACTAACCTGCTCGACGGACGGGTCTTGCAGTCCCCTAAATGATCGCTCAGTGATAAAGGAGGCAGGGGTGGAGAGGGGCTCGCATCTGATTAGCTAGTTGGTGAGATAATAGCTTACCAAGGCGATGATCAGTAGCTGGTCCGAGAGGATAATCAGCCACACTGTGACTGAGACACGGCCCATGCACAGACTCCTATCTGGAACATAGTAATAACAACGACTTTAATCTTCCACCTTGCTTTTCTCCATTCTGTTCTAAGACACATTGTCGTCAATCTATATCCTACTCCATTAAGTTTTGTTTAACTACCTTTTCCCGCTAAGTTTCGGTCTATCTCTACCTCTCTTTGTGTCGAGCTTTTGGTAACAAACTTTTGATTTTACAGGAGCATCGAGGGACTGTCTCATTACGTGTCCAAATCACCTCATGCTCCCTCATATTTCAGTTGCTCATACTACTCGTACATTAATCCCTTCTTCTTTTATTTAATGCTGTAACATATCTTTAGTTTTTTTCTATAATTAAGGTAGAATTTCGAGCTTTTTCTTTTTTAGGGATACGAAATTTGAGTTTGCAACCTTGTATCAAATTTCTCACCATTAATATATCCCTAATGGCATACAATTGTTTTTTTATATAATAAGGAGCATAAAAGACGAGTCTTAAGCAATGGTAAAATTGTTTTTTCATTGAAAGGTCATGAGTTTGAATTCAAAAAATAGTTTTTTTTTGGAATTATGTAACAATAAGATTGCGTATAAGGATTGCTCTCATCTCACCCTCGGTTAGTTGGAGTTTAATAGGAAATGGTTTATATAATAAGAAGCATATAAAATAAGGGTTCATTTAATCTTATGTTACATGAGAGATCTTCTCTCATGTTGTAGAGATACATATGGTGGGGTCTGCCATTTAAAGAAAAAAGAAAGAAAAAAAAAGGAGTGTCACGGTTTTCGATGGATGTGTAGGAGATAAAACTATTCTTATATTGCATATGAGTAGTTTTTCCATAAAATAATAAATAAAAGGAAAAATATCCTTATGTATGATGATGAAAAATGAAATTTCTAACAACGTAATCTTCACAAACTTCTTATACATGAGTAAGGTTATATTAACAAACTTTTTTTTTACAAACTTACAAATTACACTATGTGACATGTAATACTCTATTCAAGAGTGTAGACATAATATAGTTTATAAACAAAAAGTTAATAAATATAACATTCCCCTATATATATATATATATATATATATATATATATATATATATATATATATATACTCAAAGTTAGGTGTACTTATTTAAACAAAAATAAAAAATTACAGTGATACCAATAATACATTATTCAATAGCTTATATAGAAGTATGTGAAAGTTTTATGAAGAGTTTGTTTATGCATGCAAGTATCATTTTCCATATTATAATTTGCAAAATTATCACAATGACATGAGTGAGATGATAATGTGCCACCATTTTTTTCCGCTCATCCTAAGAAGATTGAATGTTTATTAGATCAAGAACCCGTTAGAAAATATATAAAGGTAAGCGTGGATAGTGAAATTAAAGGATCATGATGAAAGATGAAGAAACCTTCTTTCTTGATTCAAAGCCAGTAATTAATGCCCATAATATATATATTGGTTAGAACAGGAACCAATAACATGCGAAAGATTAGAACACATTAACATATACAGAGACTCATCCCTAAATATACCATCCCCATCCAAGCTTGAAAAATGCATATCAAGTTGTATCTCTATCTAATAACTTTAGCATTCATGTCTTTCTTTCCCCCCACTAAGTGTCGCTGAAAAACAATACAAGAAGAGAAAAACATAAAGAAAAACAGAAAAAAAAGTAACACCCAAATTTAACATAGAAGATTGTTTCTCCCCTCCTATAGCAACTCTTGTATGTTAAAATTAATTTGCTTATCAACTAATTCTAGGATACCAGTGTCTCCACCATCATCTTCAATTGCTATATTCAGATCCAAAGAGAGGCTTGGACTTTTATCATCCATAGTCTCTTTTCCTTTGTTTTCAGCAGATAGTGACTTTCTTGCTGATCTTGACACTGAACTGAAGCTTTCACAACTGAAAATGACAATGGCATCCTTGAAAGGAACAGACTCACCACTTGGAAGTGTTATACTTCCACTTTCTATAGCTTGCTTAACACCCTTTTGAGAAAAGTAATCAACTTGCTCCAAGTCTTCCATGAAGAACACCCTATGAGGGTTCTCATTGGCTGCTTCACCAAATCTCTGCAAATAAGTGCTTTCCAACTCATCTCTTGGTCTCTTCCTTTTGGATTTCTCATCAGTGGAATCAGCTCCTTGGGAAGAGAAACTGCTCATACCAATTGTGACAAAGTTACTGTAAGAGCCAAAAACAACCTTAGCTAGCTCCCTTGAGATATCCTCTTTGGCTTGAGAATGCACACCCACAAACAACATACAAGTTTCTTGCTTGTCTTCTCTCTTCATCAATTGGTTCTCTCCTTTTCTCATTCCTGATCTACAACGAAGGACAGTACTTGCAATCTCTGGAATAATTTCTTTATGTTGTGGAACCTTTTTCTCCAAGGCATCACACAGAATCTTAAGATTCTCAGCATTAAGTTCCTTGAACATTTCAGTGCTTTCTAAACCGTCTAGTGCTTCACTTGAAGAAGCTGAGTTGGGGCTAGAGTTGGGATTTGACAAAAGATCTGGTTTAGGGACATTTCTTTCTGGCATGAACATTATGAAGTTGCCATCATAGCAATCATCACCAGTTTCAGTGTATAACTCACATTCTTTTGGTACTTTTTCTGGTTCAGAAATGATTGGCCAATTTAGGTGGCTTTGATGCAAGTTAGACTTTCCTTCATGTGAGGAAACAGAAGTGGGAGATGAAGGAGAGGATGAAACAAATAAAAATGGTTTCTCAAGAATGGAAGGGTGTCTGTGTATTGAATTGCAAATTGAGTTCCATTTCTTGCAAAGATCCTTAAGCCTAGCATTTTCCTGGTTCAGAAAGTAAAAAACAGAAAAAGAATCAGAAACAGTTCAATTTTTTTCTTTTTTGCCTATATATAATTTATATTTTTCTGAACCAAGTGTGACTATTATGATACAAACCTGATCTTCTTCCATTACATAACTTCTCTCTTCCTTACAATTTTGGAGCCATGTTGGCAAGCTAGCAGTGCATACTTTCTTGCTTATACTGTTAGTTATACTCTGAGCTTCTTTTTCAAAATTCATCGAGCAATCCCTGCAGCAAGTTAGGTGCTTTCGGACTTCTACTCTATATTCATAAGGCACATCCTTGAATAACACCTTGCTTCTATCCTGAGCTTTAAAATCACTAAAAAAATGTGAAACAACAGAGAGGTTACAACAAAGAACTCAATAGGACAAGGAAAAAGATGAATTTATAAAAGGAAAAAAATTTTTATCTGAAACAAGCAATAGATAAATATAGGAGAATTAAAAAATTACCTGTGAAAATTTAAACTTAGGCTCAAGCTGCCAACAGGAATAGTGAAAGGATGAAGATCCCAAATAGTTTCTAGGGATGGGAGACATATTTTACACTTCATGTATGTTTTAAAAGTTGCAATTCCCATAAGCCAAAGTCTACTATTCTCCCCACTTCCACTGACCAAATTTTTTAGCTCCATGACCATATGTTCTACAGAACAGTAATAGTTGGTTTTTTGGTCACAATAATTTGACCAGAATTCAAACAACCATTTTAGATCACCCAAATAAAGAATAACCCCTCTTCCCACATAACTTTTCACAAGGCTTCTTACCTCCACAAGCTTCTGTTGAACTTCCTCCTTACTAATGTTCCTGAAGCATATAAGAGGAAGACTCACAAATTGAACATACCTCAAGTCTCCAGGAACATTGCCTACTTCAAACCTATCCATCACTCCCCTAGCTACTCCCTCAGCATTAGCAAGACTCTCCCCCACAATCACTGTGTTTCTTCTCCTCTTCACCAATTCACTCAACACACTAGTTACATCATCATTATTCACATGGTCCATAGGCTTGATGAATGAAGCCCCACCTTGACCAAAAGGCCTAGATGGAGATATATTACCACCCAAAAGAACTTGAGGCTTGGTGCTTTCTTTGGAATGGCTCCTATCAGGAGGATTTTGTGAACAAACTTCCATTGAAACAGTTTGTTCAACCCTGCTTTTAACAAGGGTGCTAGAGAAACCAGCTTCTCTCATGACTCTACTCACACTTGGGTCATCAAGGATGGAGATTATGAGCTGTTCCACCTCAATTTTCAAAGCCAAAATATGTTGCTGCTGGTTCTCAATAGATCCACGGCGTTGGTGAGCCTGAGCACGTTTGAAGGCTGCAACCAATGCATTGGAAAGTGAAGGAGTGGAATACTGAGGACCCAAAAGTGGGCTTGGTGTGGAAGCTGGTAAACGGTTGAGTGCAACATTGAAACAAAGCTCAAGAGCTTTGCATTGAAGAGGGTGAGAATGGCACTGAAGACAAGCCTTGCGTAGAAGTCCTGTGGAAGTTGCAAGCATAGCACTAGCAACATGCAGAGGAGTCACTTGTGCATGGCCTCTTCTTGTTGCAAGATTAACTGCTTGTTTAACAACAGTTGCAGCCTCTGGTGTCAGAGCCTGAAGCTGTATACTGCAAATACCTCCTCTCATCTTTCTCAACTTGCTTCTATCAGTAATAGCTCACAGAGATATAGTAAGTACAAAGGTTAGACCAGGCTTAAAGGATTCTTGGAACAATGGGGTTCATTTGGTTTGAAATATAGTACAAAACAAAGGCTATACTAGCTTAGGAGGATACCGAAATCTATGATGGTTTATACTTTGTTTTGGTACACTATAGCAATGTCTGCAACTGCAAGATATAGATATTATGTGAATTTTGTGCCTTTCTTGTCAGTGAGGGAAATTTTGGCTTTTAATGTGAAAGTGGATTGTATGTGATATATGCAACTTTCTCTTTCTTTCTTGTACATGTAAAGGTATGTGGATTATCAAAAGCTTCTACTCAATATTGAGGGAACTATAAAATATAAAGCAAAGTAAGAAGATTTAGCTTTAAACACTTTGAATGGAATAATCACTTTTGTTAAGAATAAGCTCAAAACTTGAAGATGGAAAGAGAGAGAGAGAGAGAGAGAAAAGGAGAGTGAGAAAAAGAGAAAGTGAATAAAAGGAAGAGAGGACTGTCTGTCTGTTTGAATGGACAGGGAACTACAGTGGTAGTGGGCTTTAGCTTTTATCTTTTCTCGAGGTGAAGATGGAATAATAATGCCTTGAATGATTGATTGAATAATGAATGAATCACAAACTCCAAATAAAACAGATTGCATGAAAACCAATGTTTCTTAAAATATGTCACTTTGTCTCTCTTCTAATTCATTCCAAAAAGTTGGCTTTCTTCAACTTCTTAATGACTCTCTATATCATGGTTTTATGTTGCCTGACACATTTTGAAAAATAAGATGACAAGAATGGTTGAAGGGAAGATAATGGAAAAATGACTCGGTCTTTTTAACATATCTTCCATTTAATATATATATATATAAAAGGAAGGGTTACGATTATTTTTTTTTTTTTTTTACAATTCTTACAATATTAAATATGTATTTTGAAAAGTATAAATACTTGAAAGTGTATTTCCTGAAATATATAGTTGAAGTTGTAAAAATAAAATTATAAACATAATATAAACCATATATATATATATATATATATATATATAGTAAACATTTCTACAGCAACTTTAGATAAGCTTATCTACAGCTGTCATTTTTAACTATATTCTCCCGGGAGAATATAGTTATAACGTTAAAGTTGCTCTTTTTTCTCTCTCCTCATTTACTTTTCAGAACTTTTTTGCTTACGTGGAGAGAGAGAAAATAGCAACTTTAACGTTATAACTATATTCTCCCGAGAGAATATAGTTAAAAATAGCATCTGTAGATAAGCTTATCTAAAATTGCTGTAAAAATATTTTTGCCTATAAGGAGAAAGTATATCGCAGACAGAGGAAATTCTACTTAAATCTTTTTAAGTCACATACTCCAATTTTTACTAATTGAATCATTTCCTAATTAACAAAGGTAGAAAAGGGTACACCAAGAAAATAATAAACATTATTTAATTCTTCTTTGTCCATTAGATTTTATTATCGTAATTTAAATTTATGATCTCTTTATAATTCCTCATATTTTAACTATTTGTGTTATGCGCAAATGATCAATGTACTTTTCTTTTTTTGGTTAAGTGTCACTGTTCTATATTATTATCGAGTAGAATTGCTTTCGAGTTGAAGAAATAATAAAGTAAAAAAATTATATAGTTAAATATATTGAGACTTTTATACTTATGTAGTGCTAAAAAACGAAGTATGTTTTTCAGACGTCATAGTGCAATACAAAAGTAATTTTAGTTCACTGGAATATGCTTTTAGTTATCTGTAGAAGGCAGTGTGTCAACTATATTCCTTGGGAATCAAAGTTAAAAAACAAGGCAATTATTTACAAAAAAAAAAAAACACAAGGCAATTTATAATAGACTTGAACGCATACAATTCTAGTTGCCTAGAATTCTCAATTCTGAGAAATAATTCTGGTCCACTATTTTTAATTATAGTGGACAAATTTTCACGAAACACTATGAAGCTGGGTCAAAATAAACCAGAAAATAGAAAAACACATACTAACTGGGGAGAAAAAAGTTTTAGTAAGGGATTAGTATTTTTTATTTTGTAGGAAATAATTTTATCCCTTATATACATATAAAGGTATGTGAGGTCTATTTTTTTCTCTCTTCTCTTCGTATAGTTTCATATCGGGCTCATACACTTTTATATAGTGTAGGAGAAAAAATTATTTTCTAACATTAATCCTTTTTAATAATGTATTCTAACCTAAATGGGGGGGAGGGGATTGGTTATGCGATATAAACGTCAGACATCAACAAATGTTTGTGAGAACGCCTGTGTAGACTGGATTAGCCTCAAGGCCCATTTGAGTATTAATCCATCCTTAGTTCTGGGCTAGGCCCTCCTTATCTACGATAAAAGAAAAAGAATATGGCTTGTTTGAAATATAAAGTTTCATGTTGGAACAAAAGCAACAAAGCATTAACTTAGCCGTTGGAACAAAACACAAGACTGTTGAAATAACATTATTGTAAAAATAAAAAATAAAATTCAATTTCTGTTCAACAACAGAAGGATAATTTTTATGCAAGAGACATAATTTAGGTGGATCTCACCAAAAAAAATATGATATAAAAATCGATGTGTGTGTAATAGGAGAATAAATTTCTACTAAAACGGGAGAAATTATTCTCCTAAAAACAAGTCAATTTTTTTTTTTGAAAAAAGGGTAGGATATTGTAACAACTAATTAGTGTTACTACCAATCAATTTTACCGTTAGATTCGATTATGTTGATCCAACGGTTATATTTATTTTCACATTTGTATAGTTATGATTTCTCATATTTAATGTATAAAGTATTAAATATGAGAAATCATAATCATACAAAGATGAAAATAAATATAACCGTTGCATCAACATAATCGATTTAACAGTGAAATTGATTGGTAATAATATTGATAATAACACTAATTAATTATTACAATATCCTTTCCCTTGAAAAAAAACCACATTACCCGTTGAAGTTGGAACAAAAGCTCCAAAGCACTTGTTGTAAATTATTGTAGATTACTCCCAACAAATGAAGATTACTCCCAAGATGACAATGTTGCCCGGGACTTTTGCCGTACATTATTGTCAATTACCATTGAATTTCTTATATACTTCTCTAATTCATCCTCCAAAGAACTAAAGTAGCCAAATTCTATTGCTTGCTACTGCAATCGGTTGAATTCCAGTTTCAGAAATTCAAGATTATCCATTTTATTCCTTGATGGGGGAATTGTTTAACTTGTGAATTTGGGTTTTATTAAGGTGACATTTTTTTTTATTGATAGAAAGTATAGATGGGGTTAGACGAGGTGTTAGATTTTTTTTTTGAAATATTTCAATCGGTTCATCGCTTCGCGACTAGTCCGATTCGGGGCAGGTCCAGAATTAAGACTTTAAACCTCTCCTAAAGGTGTTAAGCTTTTCCTTAGCTACTTTACCATCTTGAAAATGTTTGGTTAACCCATTTCATTGCTTAATTAAACGAATACATGAGAAGAAAGGATTTGGATATTCTTAATTTTTAAAATCATCTTGTAATTCTCTAAAAGTAAAAATAATTAGCTTTCGCCTCCATTTGCCTTCCAATTTATCATTGAAGAATCAATTTAATGTTAATGATAAATAAAGTATCGAAAATGTCAGTGCAAGTACTGATATTTTATTTTATTATTTTCAAACAATCTATGTGCGAAGGAATGGGGGGATATTTGAAACTTTTACGTGTTTCATTTAATGGGAAAGTATGTATCATTTTGAAGGACACAAAGTTATATTATTTTAAGAGAGAAAAAGACAAATCATACGAGAGATAATGAATAGGAAAAGTTTTAAAAGTGTAGGTACCACTTTTTATGAGAGTGAAAATATATAACTTTTTATTCTGTAAGTTGTGTTTTTTTTTTCATTTAAAAAACAAAAAAATATTTTTGTAGTTACTGCAGATAAATTATCTGCATTTGCTCCCAAAACGACGTCGTTTTGGGATTGAAATATTAAAAAATTATAATTTTAAAGACTATAATAATCCTGAAATAAATTAAAATTACAAAAACACCATAATTTTCGTTCCAAAATGACGTCGTATTGAGCTTACTTGCAGAAAAAACGAACCCTTTAAAAAAAAACCACAACTTATGTCTTTTTAAAAAAAATAATTTCCCCAACATTTATTACCAACTATTTATCCTTAGCATAACTTTAATTTACCCTCTCACATTTTTTCAGGAAAAACTTCAACCAGACAAATATTGAGAAAAATGAATCCACTTGGGTTTGGATCGAAAACAATTTAAAGTTTTTTTGTGTGTACAACTTGGAGGCTATTCCTGTTAAATCTCATCCGGTCATCTTGTCCTCAGAGTACGACCCGAAAGTTACCCGAACAACAGGTGCATTGAACTTCGCTATCGAAGAAAGGATGAGACTAATACCCCTTCGAGTAGGGATGGCAAAAATGAGCCAACCCGTCGGGTTGGCTCGTAACCCGCACAAAACGAGCCGGGTTGGGTTGGCAAAAATGAGCTGCCAGCTCGATTTAGCCCGACCCGAGCCAACCCGAGCTCAAACGAGCCAGCTCGCGGGTTGAACGAGCCGGGTTACTTTTTTTTTTTTTTTTAATACAATGGACTTTACTGATGGATTCTCCACTGATGGACTTCTTTTATTTTTTATTTTTTGGCTTTACATACGTTTTATGGTTATCGTGAGTTAGAGTAATTCAAAAAATCACGATAAATGACTCTTGTGATTCGTGGAGTGGTTTGTGTTTCATTTAATGTTTTTGGATTTTGTAAACTACTCTACTTGTAGTTGGACTGCAAAATACAATAATTTTATACAGGAAAACAAACCACAAAAATTAAATTTTTTGAGCCAACCCGCTAGCCAATATTTTGAGCTAACCAACCCGCGAGCCAACCCACTAGCATCATTTCGAGCTAACTCGCGAGCTTTTTTTGAGCCAACCCGTGAGCTTTTTTACGAGCCAACCCGCGAGCTGATTATCGAGCCAACCCGCGAGCCAACCCTAACCCGGCTCGGGTCGAGCCGGGTTGGATTTTCTGGCTCGTTTTTTTTTCGAGCCAACCCGACCCGACCCATTTTTTTCGGGCTGAATGCGGGTTGGGCCGGGTCGAGCCGGGTTGGCCCGTTTTGCCAACCCTACCTTCGAGGAGAGAGACATGTCCTCTCGCCCCAAAAGATTTTTCAAGAATTTGAGACTAAACTCTGTTTTAAGTAAATTTTTGGAAACTCATTTGCTAACTGAGCTACCCTTAGAGTTAAACAATTTAAAGTTTTAGATTTGTATTATTATTTTGTCTTTTCTACAATATTAAATTTCTTAGATTCTTTTTTATATAAACCACATATATCCTTCACGAAAGCCAATCTTGTTCGGGGCGAGTCTAAGATTAAAGCTTTAAACCTTTTCCAAATATGGTATTGGGGAGAATCAAACACATGCTCTAATCCTCACCTGCTCAACTCTCATATTCCAATTAAGCTACCATCATTTGGTAAATTTCTTAGACTTTAATTTTTCATTAAAATACTTACCTTTTTTAAAAATTAAAATCTTATAAATTAGAAGTGTTAAATTAACACATATTAAGAACACATTTCGATGGATTTTTTTGAAAATTATTATTATTTTAAAAAAGTGCTTCTATAATACATATTAAAACTTTAAACTTGATTTTCAAATATGTTTTTATCAAAAATAAAAAAGTTGTCTTGCTCAAGTCAACTTATAAATATTTATGGGTTTAACGTCTCTCATATTATAGGAGATAAAATTATTAACTATACACACATAAAAGTGTGCGTAGTCCTGACATTAAACCAAATATTTATAAATAAATATTATAGATAATTTGCTAATAAGGGATAGAATAACATATTTTATTTTTGGTACATATAATCATATATCTTTTTTTGTTTTGGTAGACATGATCATATATCTTTGAGTCCATTGTAAGAGGAATGTTATATTTATAAACTTTTTGTTTACAAACTCTTACAAATTACACTAAGTATGACCGGTCATATTTCAATCAAGAGTGTATGATCAGTCATATTTAATGTAATTTGTAAATGGATCCTTCCCCCGTTGTAATTGGAAATGATTTTTTTTTTCTGTTACATTGGAATGATTTTTTTTATATCTCTTTTAAAGGTACATCATAGAAGAAATTTCAACCACGAACAACAATTGGAATGATAATTTCTTCTTATTCATTTTAGGACCTATGTTATCAGAATTTGATCCTTGATTTGTCTACAAATACTTGAGATTTTTAAAATGATATGGTCATAACAAGTTTCATTTCCATTGCAATATGAATTTATAAATTGAGTTTGACAATCGTCAAAGTTAAAACAAATGAATAACTACAAAATAATAATAAGATAAAAGTATTTGTCATTTTAAATAGGATTCGTTTTTTCTGCAGTTACTGCAGATAATCTGCAGTAAGCCAATACGACGTCGTTTTGGGGCAGAAATCGTGATGTTTTTGTAATTTTAATTTATTTCAGGGTTATAATAGTCTTTATATTTATAATTTTTTAAGATTTCAATACCAAAACGACGTCGTTTTGGGAATAAATGCAGATAAGTTATCTGCATTAACTGCAGAAATATATTTCCCTTTTAAATAATACAATTTTGGGTATTCAAAAAAAATAAATAATAAATTTTGTGTCATTCTAAATGAAACTATCAGTGATGGCGCCACTTGTTACTCAGTGGTGCCTTGGCACTAACAAATTTTTAAAAATGGTACAAATTTTCTTTAAATATTATAGTATAACCTTAGCATGAGTTGAATTTTTAAAAATAATATATCTTTGGCACCAACTTAATTCTATATGGTTGGATCTTTTGGCACCAGCTGCATTTTACTTCTAGCTCCATCGCTCGCTGGAAACTACATTTTTGTGTGTTTTGTCATTTTCTTTTTTTATAAAATTAGGAAGAAAAAGAAGGCGGAGGAGAGAGAATGTAAAAATAAACCAAAAGATATAATTTTATAAAAATGAGATAATTTTATGTTCGTTTAAAATGACAAACAGTTTTCGCTAATAATAACGGAAAATAAAAATAAAAAAGTAATTAAACGAACTACATAGAAGGTTTGAAATTGCAGGTTCGGAATTAGGTTTGGAAAGCCGTTTGTATCTATTAGTCTGAACGAACCCGCTTCTGGGTTTCCCTCCCAATTGGATAATTTGGATTCACAGAGAGAGAGAGAGAGAGAGGAAATGGAAGAAGGTGGCATCTTCGTTGTCTCAGATCCAGAGCCTTGCGGTGGTGTTGGAGGTACCAATGTTTTTGCCCTACTTCTTCCCTCTTTCTTGATTCTACTCTCTCTCTCTCTCTCTCTGAAATCGCAACTCTTCGTTTCTGTCACTATAGCCTAGGGTTTTCTAATTCCTGTCTTTTGCAAATTTGTCACCAAATTCTTAATAATTTCTTCATATTTACCCTCTTGTACTTGACGACGAAATGTTGCTTTCAGTTAGGGTTTTCTAGGTCATGTCCCGATTGAAACCACTTGCGGGTAGTTTCAATCGGTAGGTTCATCTACTAACTGAAGCTCCCAAGTCCAAACGAAATTCTAGATGCAAATCTGGATCTTTTGAGGTATGTTATGTTTATGCCAGGAGTAATTGGAAATGGGTTGCAGTTGCAGGTCAAAAAACAAAGAGAGGAAAAGTGGTGAAGGGGGATTCTGCTTCTGTGGGAGTGGGAGCTTCCCAGAAGAAATTGCTGGCTGACATAACCAACATGCACCAACAGCAGCAGCGCCTACAACCCTTTAACCAACAAGCAAAGCAGCACTCTGCACCACTTGCTACAGCTGACCAGCTTCTCAACGTACATTATTCTTGATTATATCTTTTGCCTTATGACAGATGATTCATTTCCTTTTGTTTCTCTCGTTGTTTTAACACTTTACCGATGGATATTTTGAATCTGTTTCCCAGGAAAATGCAATGTTGATGAAGCTTCTAGCTAACAGAAAGTAATCCTTTGTGTAAATTCGGTCTACTTTTTCTATCTTCTATCTGCGGTTAATGTAATTATGGTGGTAATAGTTTTCATTTACTGGGGTTTCCTCAACTTGTATGGACAGTGCGATAATAGAATCATGTAAAGCAGAGCTACAAAAGTCTCAAAGAGATTTTCAAAAACTGCGGAAGCAAAATTCAGAACTTGCCCAGACAAATACTCAAATGCTGGTGGTACTGACCAAAATGTTTTAACAGCTGAATTTTTTAATCTTGCTGAAATTCAAATATACTATTGTTGATGTGTATTGCTTTATCTGTCTTTGCAATGCAGGAGCTTAATTCAAGTAGACAGAGGGTGAGTTTTGAAAACCATTGGTGCATATAACACCTACTGCTTTCATTTTTTCTTTTATGCCGTATTAACATTGAACTTGTTGCCATCCAGCTAAGGGAACTTCAGCATGAACTTGGAAGCAAAAATGGTATACTCAGAGCTATGAAATTAGAAGTGATGGTCAGTTCAACTCATATCCAAGCATATGAATTGCAGAGGAGCGAGTGAGAAAGGCTTAATTTTGTTTTTGACTGTTACAATTTTCTTTCCCTAGGCAAAAGAGAACACTGAAAAATTGAAGCATGAAATTGATGCAGATGAGGTACTTTATGAATTTTCCTTTATTGGTTTCTTCTGCTGGTTGTTCTTTACTCCCAGCTCACTGGCACTGCAACAACCTGCCCATTTCTTACCTACTGTTAGGTTGGAGCATCTCAGAATATGCAGTCAGATCAAACGTTTCAACATAACAGGGAGGGTGCCAAAAGGAAGAGAGTGTCCAAATCTCAACGTAATTAGTGTACTCAACCCACTTTGTATATATATATATATATATGTGTATATACAAAATTTAATGTAGATATCTTTTAAATTGGTCTTTCCCTTATGCAGCTCCTGCACCTGCTGTCATTAAACAAGTTAAATCCACAGAAAAAGTTGAAAACCAGAGGTATCATTTTGAGTTTATTTGCTATTCTGGACTAATGTCTGAACTCCGAAGTTGGACTCTTGGCTACTTAGGAACAAGGAGCTTATATGTCTCTCTTGAATATGGACACAGGTGTTGTTTGAGAAGACAATCTGCAAGGTTCAAAGCTGAAAAACCAGGACCAAGAGAAGACTTCTTTGAGGCAGATCAAATCAAATATGATGTTTCGCATCTAGAAGAAAATTTGGCAAATGAAAATGGACCAACATCATTAGGATCCAAAGTTCATGAAAAAGCCAGGGAAAATGCTGAATGTAATTGTATAGAGCTTATCTCTTTTTGTTATTTTATCATGTTATCAGTTGTTTATGCATATTTTTTTCATGCAGCTACAGGACCTACTAACACTGAGCAAGTTCTTTCCAAAAAGAATATTGAAAAGAGGTAAAAGCTTGTATATACTTCCACTTTCTGACTGGGTTTGAATGGCTGCAATTGGAATTTGTGAGTAATAAGAGAATTAAAATCCCGTTGCCTGTCTTCGAGAATAATTTACAGGCAGAGTTTGAGAAGGCAATCTGCAAGGTTCAAAGCTGAAAAACCAGGAGAGACAGAAGACTCCTTTGATGGAGATGAAAACAAATATGATGTCTGGCATCTACCGGAAAATTTGGCAAATGAAAATGGACCAACATCATTAGGATCCAAAGTTAATGAAGAAGCCAGAGAAGATACTAAATGTAATTGTGCACGAGTTATTGCCTTTTTTTATTTTTCATGTTATCAGTCCTTTATTCATATTGTTTGCGTGCAGCTTCAGGACCTACTAATACTGAGCAAGCTCATGCCAAGAAGAATGTTGAAAAGAAAAGGTATGTTTGTATATACTTCCACTTTCTGACTGGGTTTGAATGGCTGCAATTGTAATTTGTGAGTAATTAAGAGAATTAAAACTGTGTTACACGTCTTCGAGAATTATTGACAGGCATAGTTTGAGAAGGCAATCGGCCAGTTTCAGGCCTGAGAGTCCAGAACCAACTGAAGACTTATTTGAGGTAGATGATGCAAAATTTGCTATCTCCCATTTAGGTGATAATATGTCAGAAAAAAGTCGTCCAACAACATCAAGTGTAACTTCAGGACAAGAAAACAATTCTTCTACGGTTGATCCTCAGGAAATTCGAAGATCATCTGTTGGGCGGCCATTGCGTCGAACAGTTGAGAAGGTTGTGTCCTACAAGGAAGTTCCACTTAACGTGAAGATGCGGAGAGATAATTGAATTGAGTCAATTTTATGTCAGGTTCTCACGGAATTATCATTAACTTTGTAGAGAAGAGTGGAAACTTGAAAGCATGATATGCTGATGTACGTTCTATAGTGCATGGTGATGGGGTTCTACTGATTTTTTGAATAGCTTCTTGTTTAGGGCTTTCCATAATTGAAAACTGATGTACGTTCTATTGTGATCATCGTTAGATGATAATATTTTATCCATCAGTGATATCCTTACCTCCTCCCCTACCTCTCCTTCACATTGTAAATTCAAGTATGGGTGGCGGACACGTGGTTGTTCTATGTTTTCAGAACGAAAAAGGAGTTTACAGCTAAAGAAAGAAAAAGTTGTCTACGTCAGGTGATGTAAATTGCTTCAATCAATTTTGATATCCCAAACAAAAAATTTCATCTGGGCCTAGAAGGTATGAGTTCTTTAAGCCCATTTAGATAGAGCAATGATGATAGTAGGTGGCTAGGCGAATATGAAAATGGAATCTCCGAAGGGTCTGTTCCCATGCAGACTTTCATATATCCATGGCATTTAGCTGCATAAAGTCACCTACCGGAATTTCTGTCTTTCAAAGTTTAGGAGCATGGATATTATATGTACCTTGTTTTTTTGATACAAATTTATCTTGTTCATATTGTTACAGCTTACAACCAGTAAAACTGATGAAGATGTTACTTAATATTTATTCATTTCCCTGATTCAAAGTGTGATTACAATTAATAGCATTGCCTTCCTGAAACAGAATTAAGACACGCTGCAAGAATTTTTTTCACGAGTAAAGTTATACTTACAACTTATTTATCGTTTATAATCTCTTACAATCATATTTTAACCGTTGATTTTCGCTAATCAATGGTTATTATTTTCGCATATCAAACTCATTAATTATTAATTCGCAATAAATGATAAATGTTGATTGACAGAAATCAACGGTTGAAATAATTATAAGAGGTTATAAACGAAAATAGGTTGCAAGTATAATCTTCTTCTTTTTTTAGAGTAAATATCCTTTTTGGTCCCTGGTAATATTCACGAAGCTCTTTTTGTTCCCTAGCAATAAAAAAGGGACATCGTGTTCCCTTAAATTATAAAAAACAAGCCACGTTAGTCCTTCCGTTAAATGGCATCCAACGACCAATGTAACGGTGCACACTTGATACGTTAGTTTGCTAACGCGGAATGAAGTAGTCCACCGAGGAAATAAGACGACGATGTTTTGAACATCAGTTGCATCTCCATGGTCGTGAATGGACACCTTCCCTAGCATCAAGGGTAGGGTTGGTAAAACGGGTCAACCCGGCCCAACCCGAAAAAAACGAGCCGGGTTAGCGTTGGCTTGAAAAAAAAACGAGTCAGAAAACCCAACCCAACCCGACCCGAGTCGGGATAGGGTTGGCTAAAAAATATGGCTCGTGGGTTGGCTTGGAAAAATAGCTCGCGAGTTGGCTCGAAAATTGGCTTGCGGGTTGGCTCGAAAATTGCTCGCGGGTTGGCTCGTTTTCAGCCTATTTAAACGATCCTGTAATATTAATGCACCAGCTATGTGACTTCCATCAGCTTAAACAAAGGGTTACAAAATGAGAAATAAAAACAAAATATTTTAGTTTCGAATTTTCTTCACAATAAATTTGCATCAACATCAAGAAACAATCAGAACCACTTGCAACCAAGTGGATAAGATATTTGATCCAAACAAAGCCAGCACAACCTAACAATATAAAAATGGCAGGGATGTGAGAAGATTAAGGACTTATATTTAGAGAAGGAAGAAAAATGATGACAACATGTGTGAATTTTGCCCATTTTTGTATATTATATTTTGTATTTTTTATTAAAAAAAAAACTCAACCCGCAAGCTGGCTCGTTTGACCCGTGGGTTGGCTCATTTTTTTCCGAACTGGCTCGGGTCGGGTTGGCAGCTCGTTTTTGCCAACCCAACTCGGCTCATTTTTGACGGGTTACGAGCCAACCTGACGGGTTGACTCGTTTTTTCCAACCCTAATCAAGGGTAACTTGACCCAACAAATGGGGTACATTGGGAACCCTAAATCAGCCTTAAACAAAAAAATTCTCCAAAATCTCCGCACGTTGATGACTGAAAATTGACGACAGTAGAAGTTATTTACTGGATTTGCTGGGGCGTAGGAGAAGATGAGTCTTTCTTCTGGCATGGGGAGCTCAAGTGGGAGTACTTCAATAGGGGTAGAACACTGACAAGGACTGTTGGTCGTAGGTGCAAATGGGGAGACAAACTATAGTCTATACCTCCAAAACTAAGAGAAACCCAAACAATGCATTCTTTGGGTGCCCTAATTTCAAGGTATACATGTGTAATGTGTTTATTTAAGTTGAAATATTTGCTCACCGTGATTTGTTATTTTGGAAGGAGAAGAAGCCATTTTGTGATTATTTTAGATGGGTAGATGACGTATCTAATGAAAGGATGGAACTGGAAGATGAAAGAATACACAAGGTGGAGTTGGATGTTGCTAAAATGGATTTCACGTTGAAGTATGTGGACATGATGATGAGTGAGCAATTGCAAGTTAAGCTGAATGACCAAGGTGTGAAGATTATTGAGCAAGAACTGAATCTTAATGACCAGGAAAGAAAGTTGAATGAGCTATACCTGAACATGGTTTCAGAGTTTGATAGGATGGACAAGGAAATTAGGCATGTTGGTAGGTCAGCTAGGGTCATAGTTGGTGCCTGTGTAGGTCTGATCATGATTTGTATTTTTGTTGCAAGTGTGGTAACAATCAAAACAAGTGTACCCAATGTATTTTTCCTTCACTGAAGTGTAATGAGTACTCAGTACTTTTTTGAGCAAATTAATAAAGAAGCTTTTATTATATGGCTTATTCTGTATTGGTTCGAATCTGTTTTGATGTGCTTTATTTCTGTGGTCAAGGTTAAACTATATGTAAATGCCAAATCACAAGCTCATGGATTATTCCTTGCCATCTGTTTGCATCATATGTTTTAGTCCTTTTTTGTATCCAAAGCCATCTCAAGCAAATGGATTATAAGCATTGAGCTATTATTCTGCATACTTAGGCTGGAATCAATGTATCAGCTGGAAGCATTGTATCACAAACCACAAACTACAATATATATGTTAAATCAACAAATCATTGTATCAAAAGTTGGAAGATGGAATGCAATCATATTTGTTAATTAAGAGAGTTAATACCTTTTTTGGTCCTTGACAAAACCACGAGACCCTTTTTGGTCCTTAACACTAAAAAAAGGGACATGAAATCAGAAGGTGCTATGCAATCATATTTATTAAACCTGAAGACATGGATGTACAATAATCTAAAGTTGGATTTCTAAATCATGAAATCATTGTATCACATTTCCACCAACCACAAATATATATGTTAAATGCAATCAGAAGTTGGAAGTTAACCATTCATCAGAGCTATGAAACATAATATTTGAATCATTATAATTGAAGACATGGATGTACAAGAGTGCATTACAAAATAAAGCCAACTGATTGTTGCATAAAAAAGGCCTCTAATATAAAATGGCCTTTGAATCACTGTTGAGTACAATTCAAAAGGGTACAACAATCTTTCACAAAAAAAGGGTACAACAATCTGTTCCAAAAAAAACATTCACATAATAAGGCCTCCAAATACATAATGGCCAGGAATTACAAAAAAAGTCATTCACATAATAAGAAACCCTTCATCAGTTGGCTATGAACTACTCCTAGGTCATATACATCAGCAGCTCATTTTCTTGAGGCACGCCTTGGTGGCCTAAAACCAGGTGTGCTCATGAAGGCCAATAATCTGCTTCGTGTGCCACTGGTGGCTTTATTTATAGTTTCATTACTCAACAGTTCAGTTGCCTGTTGTGGATTTGATGGAGGTTGGCTGCTACCTCTCAAGTTTCCCTCATGTGGCTGAGAACTACCCACTGCTGCAGGGATTCCTTAACTTAATGGGATTTCATCTACTGAGGTTGATCCAATACTTACATTGATTAGATTTTCTGGTCTTGCTAGTCTCTTCCCTTTGTTGGTAGTTACTTGTCCCTTACATGTTTTTGCATAGTGTCCATGTTGACCACATTTAGGACATTTGGCTACATAGGTCCTTTCGACTTTTTTTTTACTGTTTCCTTGTTCTTCACTTGGGTCCTTCCTCCTGTGTTTCTTGGGACGCCCAATTGGCCTTTTCAGTGTTGGAGGAAGAGGTTTGGGTTCATCAGATGAAGGCCAATACTTGTCTGAATTTACTGGGTTCAAGGTGTGTGCATAAGTGGCATGCAAAGCATCCACTGTAAGCCATCAATGCACATAATTCTCAAGAGGTTCATTTTTGTGACAAATGGCTGCTATTGCATGCTCACATTGCAGTCCAGTCAACTGCCATGCATTGGATGCACAAGTTTGAGTTGTTAAATTCACTCCAACTCTCTCACCCTTGCCACTGACTTCATACATATATTGGTGCAGATTCCCTGTCCAAGTTGGTGTCCATGAATTGCTGAGTACCTTTATTTGATCAAGCTTCTTCTGTTGAGCAGGAGCTATTTTACCCCTAATAGTTCCTAGAACCCTTTGATGTGCTGCCATACTCCTCATAATGTAACACCTCAATTCCTTTAAAAGACTGATTATTGGTTTGGACCTATAACCAACAATCTTGGCATTCCATATCTTTTCCATGTTGTTTGTTATGTCGTCACATTTGGGCCAGTGACTGAAATATGCCTTTACCCAACTTGAGGGATCAATGTTATCCAAATACTTCCATGCTACCTCATTTATTCCTTTCAAACGTTGCATTGTTTTCTGGAACTGTGGAATAATGTTGCATCTTGCACACTCCCAAACAATGCCTCTGATTGCCTTATCTTTCCACTGTTTTATAAAATTTTTCCATACATGTTGCACACAAAAATGATGATGTGCACCAGGCGTGACCTCTTTCAGTGCTGGAATCAAACCCTGTACACAGAGACCAAACAAGCGAAAAACCATGAGTTGATAATTACCACTATCAAATAAACAGACCACACTCAAACAAGTAGGACACAATACAATACATACCTTCTGTTGATCAGAAATAAAGCTCCAACCATAGACTCCATGGTTGCCAATGTCTTCTTGTAACAGAGTCAAAAACCACTGCCAGTTCTTTTTTGTTTCACTATCCACCACTGCATAAGCAATGACATTGAAGCTCTTGTTTGCATCCTCACCAACTGCACTCAACAACTGTCCTCCATAATATCCTTTTAAAAAACAACCATCCAGACCAATTAATGGCTTGCAACCAGCTTTGAACCCTCTATTACATGCATCAAGACATATATACAATTTGGAAAATATTGGTGGGGCTTGTGGGTCAGGTTGGGGTATGACTTGCATTTGACAAGTGGAGCCAGGATTGCTTCTCAAAAGCTCTCCTAAGTAGTCTCTCAACTTTGCATATTGCTCCTTTTCACATCCTTCAATTCTGGCCTTGGCTTTATGAAGTGCCTTGGTAACTTTCTTCAAATGGACATGGACCTTGTACTTCTCTTTCATATGTTCATATGCTTCAGCCCTCTTGTCATGTTGGGTTGTGCCATTAACCTTTTCTCTAATTTATTTGCAACCCAATCCTTACTTGCCCTCTTATTTCTGAATAGTCTGCAGCAAGAGTGTGAGTCATTAAAAGTTTTTACTTGGAAAGAGGCCAATTTGTTGTTCCAAGAACAAAATATCATCCACTCACAATCTTCACTACTACATTTGCCTCGTGCTCTGATCTTGTCATTCTTCACCCACTTAAATTGTCTTCCTAGACTAATATTATAGTCTTTTGCAGCATTTTTAAATTGCCCTAAACTCAAACTCCATTCCAAGCTCTAAGTGGACAAGACCAAATGTATCATCCTCATTAAACTTTGGATTGACAACCCTTTCAACCTCCTCAGCACCACTTGAAGACGTCTTCAACTCTTCAGAGTTATATCCATACCCATCATCTTCGAAAGACATTTTCTTCTCCTCCTCTTCCATTGTATTTTCCCATGCCTGTTCCTCAACAACCTTTTTTCTTCTTGTTACACTTTTTTTTTCAGTAGCCTTAGGTATACACTCATACTCTTCTTCACTCTCTGTTTGGTCTTCAAAACCTGGTGGAGGAGGCTTATATAGCTCATCCTCCACACTATCATATGAGTCACTAGACAATCTATCACCATTTCCACTATCATATCCATCACCAGAGGAAATATGATCAGATTTACTGCCAAATGAATCACCATGCACCCTTTCATCATCACCACTCTCACATTCGAACCCATCACTCCCTTCTACAGGTGCAGGTGCTATAATATCAGGGATTGCAATGCAATCTTCAAAATATATATCTACCTTATTCCCATTACATAAGGCAGCTTTAACCATTTTCACAATACCAGAGTCCATACTAAGGGGTCTTAACCCTACCTCTAAATCCTCCTCATTTGGCTTGAGCCACAACATCTGCTTACAACTCTCATACCCATAACCCTTGAGCAGAGTTTCAAGGTCACATAGGTTCACAAAATCAGCATCCATCTCAGGTAAATCATCTACTTTACCATTTACATAGGTTAGAACCCCTTCATCATTTCTGACTAACACACCCCCATGATGATACCTTATCACTATATATTCGTCCATCTGTAAAACAAACAGACCACATTGCAATTACTTCACACTACCACAAGGCTATTGCAATTTTATTTCACAATATTAACAAATAATCAGTTTTTACTACAACATCAACATGCATATATAACTCAACACTCGTTCCCATTACATACAGTCAAGTGTGGAAACAGACAAAAATATGTCAGCTTTACAAAATAGGCATGCAATTCATTTACCCAACATGAGGGTTCACATAACACTAAAAAATGCGAACACATTACTGAATGGGGACCACACACATAATAGGGTCTGTATTTTCCAAACCCTAACCATAACTTTAGCAGGGACCATATTCAACATAAAATACACAACCATTGTCAGGGGGACCACATATAAACATCAATTTCTGACAACATGTACCTTTGTGCATGTGAGTTAACACCCACAATCGTACTTTCCTAAACCACCAAAGAAGCAGCCGTTCCAAATCCTTCCAAGTCCACGCGATCTCCACCCAGAAACCACCCCAACTCACAATGCTCACCAGTAACGAAGCTCAGTAGTAAACATTGGGGTTCTTCGCAAGTAACCAGCAAAGTTAGTGTGTATGTCTAACAACGTTAACGACCAAGGTAGAGGATGAGTAATCTCAACTCAACGAACGACGTCGTCTGCTTATAATACGTCCACTTAAGTGATGTTTATTTTCACGGTGGACTACTTCATTCCGCGTCAGCAAACTAACGTGCCAAGTGTGTACCGTTATATTGGCTGTTGGATGCCATTTAACAGAAAGACTAATGTGGCTTGTTTTTTATAATTTAAGGGACCATGGTGTCCCTTTTTTATTGTTAGGGACCAAAAAGGCTTCGTGGATATTTCCAGAGACTAAAAAGTATATTTACGTTTTTTGTTTTATCTGTTAAAAGTTCTTACAAACAGCATTTTTTTTTAAGTTAACATTCTTACAAACAGGTTTTTTCAAAAGCTAATAAATCGTTTAAATTGGAAGACTTTTTTGTTAAAAGCAAACAAGCTTATCCAAAATAGATAATAAAGAGTCAGTTAGCGTTGGGTGAAATGATTTTGATTCTTATTATATTCCCGCCGTCGATCAAATGGTTTTAATATAAAATGCTATTTCACATGATGAGCAAGACAGATATATATTAAATTATATTTTTTTTAGACCGTTATTAATAGTTTATATATTTTATGTAATTAAAGTAAAATGAAGTCATGATTATCTAGATGGTTTTGTATCACAATTGATGCTGCCGCTGAACATCAGTTGATGTACTGTGGTTTGGAAACTACTGTGGTTTGGAAACTACTGAGGATGATTTTATACACGTGTAAAATTAATAAGTCTTACACCACCTTTGAATCGTTAATTTTCATATATCTAATGGTTATAATTTAAAAAATCATATGAATTAATTAATATTAATTAATCATTAATTACATTACAAATATCAACCGATGATTTTCGTCCATCAACGGTTGAGTTGTGGTGTAAGACTTGTTAGTCTTACACTGGTGTAAAAAGAACCTGTCCCATATATATATATATATATATATATATATAAGGACATATTATTCTACCTATCTTTGCCTACCACTCTAAAAGATGATTAGATCATAATCTTAGTTAATATTTATCTTTCTCTCTTCTCTTTAGATTTTGATCTAACAGTGTTAGAGAGTGATAGGTAAATGAAGATAAAAAATAGGTAGAACAACCATCCTATATATATATATATATATATATATATATATATATATATATATATATATAAAGACATGTTATTCTACTTATCTTTGCTTACCACTTTAAAAGATGATTAGATCATAATCTTAATTAACATTTATCTCTCTCTTCTCTTTAGATTCTGATCTAACGGTGGTGTTGGAGAATGATAGATAAAGAAAGGTAAAAAAAATAGGTATAATAACTGTTACGATCTGATAGATCGATATGTCCAATCAGAGATTGATATGTTAATGTAGGATCTGTTTGCCCTCCCTCAGGTACCTATTGGAAAGGTACCCTAAAGATAACTGGATCACTGTGCACTATAATATAACGACATAGTCAAGGCGTGGGGTGTGTGCACAATGACAAGCTAAGAGAGAGGGTTTTGAGTGTGTGTACCTTATTGGTTTAACCTTTTATTTATAGATAGGTTACCTGGCAGGAGTGGACTCTTGGGCCTCTTAGGAGTATTGGGGGTCCAATTGTTGATCCTTGCTGCCGTAGTAGGATTCGTATAATTAAGGAATACTTCCTTAATTCCCCTCTTAGCTGTTAGTCCTATTTGGACCTTTTAGAATGTATGCCTTTGTCAGGTCCATAACAATAACTATCCCATATATATATATATATATATATATATATATATATATATAATGATAATGATGATAATCAATAAGATATTTATGTATAGAGAAAAGTGATTTTACTTAAAATTGTTCCTTGTCGTATTGAAATACAGCCAAATAAAACTGAGAGCCAGAGTTGAGGGGAGATCAGTGGCGGAGCTAGCAAAGTATTTTAGTCAATGTAAAAAATTTTAGCTGGTGCCAAAATAGCTATGGTTATATAACTACATCCAAAACATAGCTAATTTTCAAAAAATTTGAAACATGATTTGCTACGTTTATTTAGCTATGCTTGAAACGTGGCTAAATAACCTGCTGGCACACTGGGGGAGATGACCTTTAAATTTAAATAAAAAAATAAAATAAAACTTCTATGTGTAGTTTATATAATTTTTAAGGATAAAAGTTTTTTAAAAGTAAATTTATCTCTAAATAATCAAGTAAAAAGCATTTACCGTTGATCTAATTTAACATGTATCATAGTTTTAATTAACTAAAATTTGAGAGTACATGCATCTTATTTATTTTAAAAAGAAATCTCTTTTTAGATAAATTTTTTTTTTCATTGTTAAAGAGGGAGGTTATACTTACAACCTATTTTTATTTATATCTTCTTACAATCATATCTTAACAGTTGATTTCTATCAATCAACGGTTATTATTTTCGTAAATCAAACTCATTAGTTAATTATTAATTCGTAATAAATAATAACCGTTGATTGATGAAAATTAACAATTAAGACCTGATTGTAAGAGGTTATAAATAAAAATAAGTTTTAAATATAATCTTCCTCATGTTTATTTTAAATATTTCTTCCATAAAGAATAATTTGCTTTATCTATGATAATACCTACACGTAAATTTTGTAATTCCTGATATTAGTAATTTTAATTTATTTTAGAATTATTATATTCTTTATAATTATAATGTTCTAATTTTTCAATTCCAAAACGACGTCGTTTTGTAGATAAATGAAGATAAGTTATTTGCTACATAAATATTTTTGTGTTAGTAATATATGCAAAACGACAAAGTAACATTACCCTAGAACGTCTTCTGGAGCGCATGAAAATACGAGCAATCAATTTAGTCCACAATAGAATGATGCAGAATCCCCCAATATGATGAAAATTGGATCGAGACAGGAAGACCTTAGGAAAACGTCCTATGTGATTTGATCAATGACAATGTATATGCAGCTTTACTCATTTGGGTGAAAGGTTCATGTAAGTCTCTATAGTACACAGAATTAAAACACCATCAGTTATTACCACTTTAGAAACAAATACAACCCAAAATAAATTAAAATAAAAAATAAAAAAATCTCTTGATATTACTTAGATACTACTCACACAAATCTAGTTTATCTTTTTATTTTCTCTATTAACTCTTTTACAAGGATTATATGAGCATGCATTCGAGCACTTTATATTATTAATTTTAATTGTAGATTTAGATAGTTATTAGTATGCTTATTCGATAAATTTAAAATAAAAAAATAATTATATATATTTATGATGCA